GTAACATACATGCTGATGAGAAGGCAATAAAAAAAAATTCTCATGAAGACAATGAAAAGTATTATTCATGATAGAACCTTTTCTTTTATGGGATTAATGATGAGACACCACTGTCTCATGGTGTCAGATGTCTTGCTCCTCGATGCTCTCCATATTCAGAAGTGCTGTTGAGGACAGCAAGCGGCTTTAAGCTGCAGTGGTGTGTATGTGTTTGGAGAGGCAGGTGCTGAATGGCTTAAAGACCTTGCTCAGGCACCAGAGTTCCCTGGTTAGAACACAGGCACTTCAACCTACCGTTTTGTCCATTAGGAGTTAACTTCCCCTATTTTCCTCATCTATAAATTGGGAGGATAATGAGCCATACCTACTAGAGTTTCAGTAAATATTCAATAGCACAATGTGCCTAAAGCATCAAGCAGATGCCAAGTGTGTAAGACATGCTTTATCCACATAGACTCAGTCATTATTGGTGTTACCATGAAGTTCCTTCATTCTAAACTCATATACACTTTTGAGAGTCTGCTAAGCTGTCTTAAAAACTGCTTGCCCAACATGTTAGCAACAAGTATGAAAGAAGGGATTCTCATCATTATTTCTATCCTGGATTCATAAAGCACCAGGAAGGCATATGGTATTATATAAACATTAAATAATAATATATCCTGCTCTGCTTCCAAATTAAATCAAGTTCCAAATACAGCATTTGCAAAGTTAATATGGCTACCTATAAGAGTCAAACAATTTTGGTGTTTAAATTTCTGTCTCCTATGACATAAAGTTTTGCAGAATGACATACCAAAGGAAAAATGGAAAGAAAACTGGGAATAGGGGTAAAATTTGTTAAAATTATTTTCTCCCTTATATACAAAAACACAGATTAGTTGTTCAACTATTTATGTGCTAGCTGTGTGCATTTAATCAAGTAACTTACATTCTCTGCGATTTTATCTGTGAAATGAAAATCATGATACTTACTTCATAGGTTTGTGATGAGACAAATTAATTAATGAATAAAATATAGAGTAGTGGTTTGCACAGATTAAGAGCTGCTTGATGTTAGCTATAATTATTATTTTCCTATGTATTGTTGTATTTTCTACAGGTATGTTATAACACAAATATATATGTTACTTTACAGTTTTACCCCCAACACCCCCAACTTTATCAGTGAAAAAAACAAAGTGGGTATTGAAGTAATTATGATGCTATCTTACTTTCCTGAGCCACTCTTGGTAAGAATTGAAAGCAAAGAAGACAAAGCCTCTAAGTTACTGGAATAACTATTTGTGAAATACTTGTGTTTACTCAGACCATATTACTCATATTTTACAGAAATTTTTAAAACAATTCTCTGTTTTGAGGCTTTCAACCTATACGTAATAAAAACAGATTGCTTTTAAGCACTTCATGTTCTAGGAGCTGAGCCAAGGAAGTTGCATTGGACTATTTTATTTAATCTTTGCAAGCCACTATGAGGAAGTATATTAATTTTTTTATTGCTGTATCTAATTACCACAGATTTAATGGCTTAAAACAATACAAATTTATTTTCTTACAGTTGTGGATGTCAGAAGTCCTGAATCGGTTTGTAAACTGGAATAAAATCAAGATGTGGCAGGCCTGAACATTGTAGGGAGAATCTATTTCCTTTCTAGAGGTAGATCCTATTTCCCAGCACCCTGTCTTCAAAGCACATCACTCCAGCTTTGCTCCCATCTTTATATCTTCACTTACTCTGATCCTTCTGCCTCCCACTTATAAGAATTCTTAGATTACATTGGGCCCACCTTGGTGATCCAGGATAATCTCTTCATCTCAAAATCCTTAATTTAATAATATTCACAATTCCCTTCTAACATGTGAAGTAACATATTCACAGATGCCATGGATGGGATATAACATATTTCAGGGTAGGGAGTTTCAGCCTACCAGAAGTAGATACAATTATGCTCATTTTGCAAATAAGAAAAAAAGGTAGTACGAGAACAAACTGAGGGCTGATGGGGGGGGTGGGAGGGAGGGGAGGGTGGGTGATGGGTATTGAAGAGGGCACCTGTTGGAATGAGCACTGGGTGTTGTATGGAAACCAATTTGACAATAAATTTCATATATTTTTTTAAAAACTGGGTACCATATTATTAATGCAGGTCCTTCAGATCCTAATGCTGTTTCCACTATACAATTGTGCCCCCAAAGTAGAAAAAAAAAAGATGAAGGAAGGGTTCTCTCTTTATGGGTTTTTCCCCATAAAGATTTTTTCAAATTCCTCATGAGTTAAAAGTATTTATTAAATGTTTATTGAATGGCTACTATACCAATTTTCGGTGCTGGGAAGAAATATGAATCAGACTGAGTCAGTAGCTAGGTCATTACAAATTTTCCCATATAGTTAAATACCCAAAACTCTTCACTCTATATTGAGAGTCCCAACCAAATTCAACCACCTAGTCGAAAGCTCCGGTTTCATGTTGTATAAACCTTTGCAATTTGCCATGTCTGGAATTGAACTCTCAAATTTTTTTCTACAATTATGTTCAAATATCAGCCTTCACCAGCTCAGGAAAGAGCACCACTATACACCCCAACAACTTATCATATTCAGAAGCCTATATTTATCTAAAAAATATATCTTAATCCTATTTACTTCTCCTTACTTTCATTACCCCCAGACTTCTGACTGGTATCTTCATTTTCATTTTTGGATTGCCTTGATTTCAGCTCCATATATAAACTGGCAATGTCCCATTAGAACGTAAAATACTTCAATATCTACTGTTTTTATAATAAAATGCAAACCTTTCATGCTACACAGGGTTCCCACATCCCTTGTTCTGTTTAACACATTTGTGTGTCTGTTGCCTTCACGTAACTAGTGACAGAGCCTTCTTTCACTCTTAAAAATGTCCCAGCTGGATGATACATTACATGGTCACCATATCTATACAGCTCTTGTGGAATCTTTCCTCCGCCTAAATTTTCATCCCATAGCCAAATATTCTCCCTCAGGATTCAATGGTGTCTACCTTAAATGTGCTCTGTAATTATTTTTCGTCAAAATGTGAACCCAAGCATTAAGTATAATACTATACTTAATTGTTTTATCTGTTGGCTATTCTGGCCATTAGGGTATACAAAGACAACCAGGCCCATGTCCACGTTGTTTGCCCCTAGACAATTCAGGCAGCATAGTACCTGATACATGGAAGGTGTCTATAGATGTTTATTAAAAAGATTAATGACTAAAGAAACTTGCCATACAGTCAATCATATACACTACATAGTATAAAACTTGAATAATAAAAATGTGTTCAAGATACCAATGACCAAACAAATGCAGAAATTGTTTCTGTTTGAAGAAAAAGGTTGAGTAGGGAAGGTTCTGTAAGCAGAGGAACCCAATCAGCATTGATGGATGAAAGGACCATCGTATGTGATCAAGAAGCTATGAGGAAAGATTTCTAAGCAGAAAGGATGGCATTCACAAAGGCAAAATGGTTTAAAACAGTGCAATTATTCAGGGAACTCAAAGTAGTTTCTATTATTAGAGTGTACAGCTTTGCATAAATGATATATTGATGTCATGAATCTCTAAGGACAAAACCTAAATTATGAAGAATACTGCAGGAAACATAGAAAACAGCAAAGAAATTTGAAACTTAGTTTTATTCTCATTTATACTGCTAGAATGATTTGAGAATTTCTATTGCATGTTTAGCTCACCGTATAATTTATTGGAGTTCTTAGGTAAGTAAATCAATTTTTGAAGAGTTTTGTTTCAAACTTCATTACTGTAAAAAATTCTCTAAGTTGTCAGTTCAACATGTAATAGTAACAAAAATATAATACATGGTCCATAATGAAACTATAATGGAATTTATGGTATGAAAACTAAACTGGACTTTCCCTTTAGATAATTTTTGGAATTTTAAGAATTACTTCAAATTTCTACTCTAGGAAATGAATTTTCATTCATAGGCTGTAAAAAGAAATAGACTAGAATTACTAAATTAACACTTTGGCATCTATCTAATACAAATGCAAAGATGAACACATCTATAGAATTAACTGAACATTAGGTCAATTTGTGATGTAAATAGAGGTTTAAATAGAGAATTAAAACTCATTTCACATCTGTTTATCCCGGAGAAAATTTTCAAGAAATATTCTTGGTATAGGTGATCATAAATGGGTTATTTGAATGTAAAACATGGACACCAGAAATTTCACACCAGTGGACTGCAAGGCATAAATGCTTTGTTTGGTTTCTAGAACACTTCAGCAGTTTGAGCCAAGATTTAAATTTGGAGAAGTCACATAAAAAAAAAATCCAGAATTTTGGCCCCTTGGAAACACTGGAAGAACACATAACAATGGTGGAAAAAAACATAGTCCTTTCAGAGGGCAATGGTGTTCTCTAGGACACCACAGAGCCCCCACCCCATCACCTCAGGTCCTGAGATCCATGCCACTCCCATATGCATGTTACATGCCTGAGACAGTGTGCCAGGCTGAAAAACCCCAACCATTAAAGACTAACTGAGAATTATCAAAATGTCTAGGAGGATATTTAGAACTTGATCATTTCTAATATTGAGAATTAAATGTACATACTATCTTAATAAAATTGTCTCAAATGGGATAATTCTTATATTCAATCTTTTCTTCCTTGGATTTTGTTTGTTAATTAAACTATATCAAAACAAACAAAAAGCTAAACAAATTTGGTAGAACATTTTTTTTCTTCTGATCAGTAATCTATTTGTTTTGGCATCTGGTTAACATAACACAAATAGCAGTAAAAATTCCCCAAATATATAAGTATATCATGTGTTTGATCTGTGATTTGAATGCAAATACTTCCCTACATCTTTCAATATAGCACAAGTAATTTGTTTTATTTAAATATACTGAAAGACTTGACATATTTTCAGTATCCATACTATTCTAGATTAGGAGATAAGAGAGGAGAGTCATTTCCATCAAAAGTGATGGGAACTTACCTTAGCTATTTGGACACACCAGTTAAGCAGTAACTGGGATCCAATGTTATCCTTATGTTCATGGACATAATCCAACAGGCAGCCATGGGGCATAAGCTGTGTAACCAGTTGAATGGTTGGGCTCAGACACACACCCAATAACCGGACTAAGTGTGGATGGTCCATACTTGCCATGATCAAAGCTTCCTATTAAAAAAAAATAAATAAATGTAATTTCAACTCAAATTCCTTTATAGCACTCACTACATTAATGGTGCTGATAGTAATTTTGAAAATGTACTCTTATTCAATGGAATCCATTAAAAATGAAAAGGCATTATTGCAGCTATTATATTTTTAAAGTGATTTAATTCAAGTAAATTTAAGTGAAAAAAACAAGGACTATACATTTATTAAGATGGACAATGTTATAAAATTAAATGAATATAAAATTACTATTAGTGTTTTGTCTTTTGTAGTATGAACAATATTTGATTTTATTTACTACTAAGTAAGTTGATGAATCTTGACTTATACCATGGATTTTTAACTTTTGATCTTGGTTCTGGAGTACAATACTCCATACGAATGTAATTATTTGTACATAGTACAAGGTGAACCAAAGGTAAGTCATCTGTTATTAGTGTGGAGTCAGATAGAATACACAGGTATAATTATTAAATTATAAATATCAAAACTTAAACAATTACAAGCACTATGCCCATTGGGGATTTATGTAGAAAAATAAACCTTTAAATTTGCTCCATACATTTGCCTTTATTCAATTCTACTTCATTTCCAAATTTAGAAGTCATGTATTAGGTATAGAATCATAAAATATAATAGCTGAGTGAGACCATGAAAACTTGTCTACTCCAACTTTATCATTTCATGAAATGAGAAAATAGCTCTAATTTCTTTATCATAATCATGTCATTTTTGTTTAATGAAGATTGGACATATGATAGTCATTTAGTGCATCTTAAAGTTACTCTCCAATAAAGTTATTTTAAGTATCTTTACTACAATTTAAAACAAATAGGACCTTCCATGCATGTGCACACACACATGCACACACACACACACACAAGGGGGATGGCACAGATGTGACAATTTATTATCAATTAGTGTACCTACTTTGAGGCTATGAGAATGTTTATATTAGCATTCTTGTATATCTTCTGTGCCTTTGAAATTTTTCAAGACTAAAAATGGAGGACAGAAAGCTCTACTGATCTATTATTTAAGATGACATGGAAAATCGAATAAACAAATTATTTCCATTTCCTCTCATTTCCACTACATTAACAATAAGGGCATTAATAAAGAGGCAGAAACCAATAATCATAGAAAGGAGGCAATAAAGATAGAATACAGAGTAGAATGTGGCTTAATAGTAGTAACTAAATTAACAGACATAAGACATCCGAAGCTTAATGTAGCAGGTAGGGAAACTGAGAAGAAATCCAATTTACACCACGTGTGTCACCACCAAAGGCTCAAGTAGTGTTAGTGCCTCAAATCTGTGCAAATGGAACAGGGAGGAGAAACTGACTTCAGTAGGACCGTTTCAAAGTGTGTTTTGGAGGCACTTCAGATGGCAGATCTCCTCCTCCTTTTCGTCTTTGGGAGAAGCTAAATCAAAAGGATTGTGGACAAAAAAAAAAAAAAAAAAAAAAAAAAAAAAAAAAAAAAAAAAAGGATTGTGGACTACGGCTATTAGGCAAAATAGAAAGAGAAGTACTCTGGTGAAAATAATAAGATTATGTAAATTTATATATAGGGAAAATTGGGGCCACTTCTAGTTCCTTTTCCCAAATGGAGCTGTGACTTCGAAATTCTGAAACTTAAATTGTTTAAACCTCAAATTCCAAAGCCAGCAAAAATTCAACCAAGGGAGTGGATATACACACATGTTCAGCCATGCTTGTTCTTAAAGAAACTTCTCTCAGATGCCTCCTTTCTCTGTTAGCTGTGCTCACTAAATAAGAGGAAGCAATTAAAAGACTACATTGAATTGAGGAAACAGAATAACGACAGTGAAGGGATATTTCAGAATAAAAGCTGTTCAAGAGACCGAGATAGCAGTCAGTCCAGACTTGAGTGGGCATATTGCTCTGAAAAAGGTGATCCAAGAAGATGGAGATGATAGAATACCTAATGACTTTAAAATACATTAAGAGCATATATATTTATCAGAAACCGAAATTCAAATTAGTGATCAATGCACAGAAAACTAAGCAAAAATAAAATGAAGCAAAAAGCAATTGATTTGGTAAAACACAAAGATATCCATGAAAAAGAAAATCATTGTACTCGCTATAGAGCATGGCAGGGAATAGTTGTAGAAACATAATGACATAAGTACAAATGCTGATATATGCAGATATCATATAACTATATTGAAAACTGAAGGGAAGGGAGGTGTACCTCTGCAAGGGGGTGATAGGAAGAAAGTGAAAGGTACATTCCTGTTGTTCCTAGTGACAAGTTAGCATATGATGCATAAAATGGAAAAATCAAGAGTTGACAGTGTTAGCATATTATTTAGATATAGAGTTAAGTGAAAAAATAAATTGCTGAGAAGCTGAAAGTGATTGTTTTGGGCTGTGGAAAATGAGTAGGAAAAGGAATGGAGGGTCACTCTAGACTTCAGTCTTTTACTATTCGCCTTGTAGAAGTATTTGACTTACTATTATTACTTTAAGGCTATTTGAGAAGACATTAACTTAAAAAAATTTTTAATGTTTATTTATTTCTGAGACAGAAAGAGACAGAGCATGAGTGGGGGAGGGTCAGAGAGAGAGGGAGACACAGAATCTGAAGCAGGCTCCAGACTCTGAGCTGTCAGCACAGAGCTCGATGCGGGGCTCGAACTCACACACCATGAGATCATGACTGGAGCCGAAGTCAGTCATTCAACCGACTGAGCCACCCAGGCACCCCAAGACATTATTAACTTTTAAGCTCCACTGCTACTTTAGCGGTGTTGAATTCAGCTGAGTCTAAAGATGATTCACAATTACGTGTATATCTGATGGAGTATATGAATTTACTGGATCTAGCTAGGTTCTTAGTCAAGTATAATGTTTCACTTTTATGAGTGAGGAACAGTGGGGCAGAATGGGCACCTGTCTTTGAGAAAGAAGATATATAAGGCCAAACAGAAAAAAAGTAAGCTGATAAAATACTATCAGCCCAACTCAAAAGACTGTTTTGAGTCTTTGTGGGCAGAAGCAGAAATTGCTGTTTTCCGGATGGCTTCTGAGTAGATGCTGACATTCCTCCTTCCTCAGCAGCCCCAGGCAACCAGAAGCATAGAACAGGGGAGGACACCGGCTTCTATGCTTCCTTGCTGAGCCTGTCACCACAACAATGCCTTGAGGACTAGCAGCCCAGAGAGCACTGAGTAGTTTATAGGTACGTATGAGACACTCAGCAACTGCCCAAACTATTTGGGGAAATTTCTCTGGTGGCTGGAGTTTCTGCATAATAAGCAGGGCCAAAAATTTGAGTCATTACTATGAATATGGCCCCATCTGGGTCCAAAAAAGTAGAAACATTTTGGTTTCACTTATTGTATATTTTAAACATTTGAAAACATTTAAAACATTAGTAAACATTTGAAATAAAGGAAATCAATGTAGTTATAAGGAGAATACAGATAGGAATGTTAGCAAGTAATATTACCTATTATTTAATCCAGTATTGTTATTCATTAATTAAATATTAACATTAATATTGAAAGTGTAAACCACAGGGTTCCTTCACTGAATTATGATATGCACACATATAAATACACACATATACACCAACAAATAAGCAGAACATGTAATCAAATTAAATAGCAAATTTAATCAAGCACAAAATTAGATATTATCTAATTACATCAAATTTATATTGATTGCATTTTCTCTATTTCTCTTCTAGTGGCTTTCAGTCTTTCATGAGCATGAGTTGCTTAGGTTTGTCATTACAAGTAGTTATCCTGGTCCCACTCCCATATAATCCAGTCTAGAAATTGATCATAAAGCTGCATTTGTAGCAAGCTCTCCAGGTGAAGCTACTGTAGGAAATAGGGAAATTGAGGACCTCTGAAACATTGCCAAGAAATGTATCTAGAATCCATTGCAAAAGTAGTAACTTGCAACTGTGGTTTGATCCTCATTATAAGCCTACTAGCAGTCAAAGGAGGCAGTGATTCTCAGCTATAAAAGGAGAAAGCCAAGGCTAGTGGGCTTACTGCCTCAGGTCTTATGATAACTGGCAGATCAGGGTTAAGACTCCTGATTTCTGATTCTTAGTGCAGTGCTATTTCTTCTGATACTGTACTTTTAAATTTTCACTTCCATCAGCACCTCTCACTGTAGATGCTTATCTTGTTAAGAGGAAGACAGCTCCAAACACCTGATATCGGTGGTACCTGAAGAATTGGGTCAAATTATACCTAAGTTCCTGAAGAAACACTAAGATCAACCAACAAATTTGCACTAACAGGTAAACTGCCATTGCATACAATGCGCTTTCAGAAAGCATGAGGAAGAAAATGATGAAGTTTAAGGTAAAAGAACAATTTCGAGGTTATTTTAGGCTTCTTTTTCAGGATAAAATATATAAACAATGTTTTTTCTTTTACAACTCAAGGAGTAATGATAATTTCATTCTACATATGCATGCAAAAAGTTTACATCAGAAGAGTGTAAAAAAGTCACATGAAAGTTTTCTTTTAAAAAAAAATCTATTAGTAAGTCCTGGCAAAAAAGCTGGGGTTGTATTAAGGAAAATTGCTCATCACACTACAAAGAGTATTTGAAACCAAATTGCAGCGTATTTGCATAATAGTTCTCTTTTTTTGAGAAAGAAAAGATGAACAAGACACTAATTGTAGGTTTTATTTTTTTCATAAAGGAAATAGCAGATGGCTTTTTTGGGGGATAGGAAAAGAGATAAAGAAAAGAGAATGTGGATTCATTTAGAGTGATGAGTGGGATAGAAAGGGGAAAAAATTCCAATATTTTAATAATGGAGTGTTGGGCTTCAATAAATTGCTCTGTGTTGAAGTTAATAATGTCCCCTGTTACCTATCTCTGTGTGGGGCCTATGGAAGCAATTTTGGAATCTTTGCTGCTGTCACTAGAAAATGTCACCGAAGGCCACTGGAATAAATACAAGTTGACAGGTGCATTATCTATTTTTTCAGAAATAAA